CGTTCTTATGTCTAGGTCTTTAATCCACTTCGAGTTGATTTTTGTGACTGGAGTGAGGCAATGATCTAGTTTCATTTTTTTGCATATAGCTACCCAGTTTTCCCAGCACCACTTGCTGAACAAATTTTCTTTGTTCCATTGTATCTTCTTTGCATAAATAAATAAATCTTTTGAAAAACTTCTTTTCATTGAAAAAAAATGTTGAGAAAATGTAACAAAATGGCTAGAAAGTAAGATAGTAGAATACTAACAGTGATTTGTTTTGTATGGTAGAATCATTGGTGACATTTTCCTTTTACTTTTTCCCCTATTTATTGCAGATTATCTACTGTGGTTTTATATTTTTTAGGTTAAGCAAAAATAGCTTTTGTTTTTCCTTTTCAAGTCAAGTTCCAGAATTTTAGTTAATTATTAATAAGAGATATCCCTATATGCAAAATCTTCATGATTTTTTTTTGCATCCACACCAGCTTTTTCAAAATATGAGACTATTTATAAAGAAAACTTTTTCAATCACTATGTACATAGTAAACCACTTTATACATGTAATATATGTACATAAAATATTTTATGTTGGTTCTTGGTTTGTGACTTTAAATTGAGACATAAATGAATAAGCTACTGTACCACAAAAATAAATCATTAGGGCCCTCATTGGAGGCACAGGGGGTTAAAGTGCAGCACTACGAAGCTATCCGCAGCCACTGCAGCACAAGTTCCATCTCCAGCCAGGGAGGTGACCCACATGGTGTGGCAGACCTCTCCTCTCTCACCAGCAGTTCCCCTCTGCAGTGTATTTCAGCAGTCTGCCTGTTCTGTACCCCACTCTGTCTCTGGTGAATCCTCTGACCCCCGACACCTCTAGCCTATACCCTGTTTCTTATATTCATAAATAAATAATTACTTTTAAATAAATAAATAAACTGTTAATGGAAATTTGCTTTCTGAATCATTTTGTATGTTTGTCCTTAGTGGTTCTAAATCTGTTATTTGGAAGCTCTTAAGTTGTCTCTATATCAATTATATTATACTTAATTAGGGGAATGCTATTATAATAGTGAATTAATTCCTTGTATGCTAATGAGTAGGTAGGTGATCAAGATATAATTCCTTGACTCAAAGATGCCACTGACTTCATGTATCACTGAGAAAGAAAAACCATCTGTTTAAACTGACATATCATTGATTATAAGAAATAGTACTAAATCAAAGGTGTTTTTTTTCTTTAATTGTCTCTTAAAATCCATGAAAAACAATCTAAAGAAACATGTCTACTTTTAAAAAAGTACTTGGTTGGTATAAATTGAAAATGTATTCTTACATGTAATGTTTTGTACATAGCGGGTAACTTACAGGTATTTATAAATTTCTAAGTTATTCATTTCTAGACTGCTACTTTTTTTTTTTACAGATAGCTTATACTGCATTTGTATTAAGAAAAATTAAGTTAAAAATAAATTTACATTGATACTTGTATCAATAAGTAGAAGCAGCCCACTTCTTTAGGGCAGATTTAGAAATCTGTTATATTTGTGACATCATTTTTTAATTATCCCATTATATCATCTCACAGTTATCTAAAACACCATCCCAAAACATGAAGTAGCATCTTCATAAGTACATTGAAATGTCTACATGTTTGCTTATGCATACTATTATATTGCAGTGTTTATATCTCAACTCTACTACTTTTATTAGATATATAATTTTGGGCAAATTGTCAATTTTAATTTACTTATTTGTCAATCATAGTAGTAGCCACAGCTACAGTAAGCATGTGAATTAAGTAAAATTATACTTGATATCTGAGTATAGTGAATATTCATATGTATGGTTATCACTTAGCTTTATTTTGATGGTATTGATCCTAAATCTGACTTCTTATCCAATTCCTAAACATTTTGATGTTTAGAAAATGGGTAAAATACATATGTAAGGTGTATTTTGACAGCTGATGAAAGTAAGGTTTGATGGGGAGGAGTAGAACCTCAAATCAACAAGCAAAATGTCTATGCAATATATTCAAATAGTTTTTTTTTTAAGATTTATTTATTTATTCGTACAGAACTGGGGTACAGGTCAGAGATGCAGAGGGTGAGAGGATTCACCAGAGACAGAGTGGGGTACAGAACAGG